TGAAGTGGTACTGGGTTGTGTGACCAATCCCACATGATGTTGTACCGGGCTGTGTGACCAATCGTACATGGTGAAGTGGTACTGGGTTGTGTGGCCAATCCCACATGGGGAAGTGGTACTGGGTTGTGTGACCAATCCCACATGATGTTGTACCGGGCTGTGTGACCAATCGTACATGGTGAAGTGTTACAGGGTTGTATGGCAAATCCCACATGGTGAAGTGGTACTGGGTTGTGTGACCGATCATACATGGTGAAGTGTTACAGGGTTGTATGGCAAATCCCACATGGGGAAGTGGTACTGGGTTGTGTGACCGATCCCACATGGTGAAGTGCTACTGGGTTGTGTGACCAATCCCACATGATGTTGTACCGGACTGTGTGACCAATCGTACATGGTGAAGTGTTACAGGGATATATGACCAATCCCACATATTTCAATCTTTTGAAAGTACTGGTACCGTATAATGGTGACAAATCATTTACGCCAAAAAACCTGTACTCATCTCCTTCTACTCATAGTTAAGAAACTTATTTTACTTAATATTGTTCAGATTGTCCTTAGAATCCATATAACAAGATAATTGTATCTGCTGCTGTTGACCTTGCTCTTCTATTTGATGGTCCTGATGAATAAAGGACCACAAATTGTGGGAATCTTCTTGGAAGTTCCGGTCCAGTAACTAAACTGTTAAGGTTTATGGAGATTTATTTATAATGACTTTGTGAATAAAGGTTTAAATGTCCTGGCTTTCAAAGAGTTTCAGTCACTCCATACTGGTTATTAAGTAATCTAGTCTAATAAACTAATGGGTGTTTCTTCTATGTCAGTGTGTATCACTGATCTTCCTGCTCTATGATGACCAACAATTTTCTCTGATTTGTACTATAACATTGCTCCAGAAAGTTACCATTCATTAGGTTCAGTATGTAGTTATTTGTTGTCCCTACATGCCTATTTCTACTACTATTCTATTATTAAAAGTGTTGGATACGATAAGCAAAAGGTGATAAAGTGAATATGCATCGATAAATGGAACATAAAACTAGATTACTAAACTGAATAACCTTCAAAATGAAAATTGGAAATCAACACATGGTAAAAAAAAAGAAAATGCTCTTTAAAATGCTTTGTTGTATTGTGCACTTGTGAATGTAATTTGGTTCTTTTTGGAATGGACAGGCTTATCTGCGATTCCATTCTTTGTACTCATTGATGAATGAAGGCCATTGGAAGATCTTTTTTCATTGCTATTTAGCAAATGCGTGGCAGATTTCCCCAACTCATTCAGTGTTACCAGGCAGTGCAGTCAGCAGTAAATCATGTGTCCATACTGTACCTCCTTCATGATACATGTACTGTACTTCAATGGTTTTATAAATGTAAATATACATGCTGCTTCCGATAGTTTCCGAGGATGTAAAGTTTGAGCAAGTGTCGAAAAGTTTTTTTTTTATGCGATCCTTATTGCAGATTGATTGAATTCATAACAGGATTTGACATCAAATTAAGAAGTTTAAATATTCTCTTTGTTTTATTTAGTTACTTTTCTGACAGCTAAATGCTGTAATTAGATTAAAACTTTTAGAATATGAATTAAATATGCAATGTGTTATTTCTGTCACAAACAGAAATTAAAACAGGCAAATCAAATCTTTTAAAATTCAACTCAGTTAATATTTCTCTTATTAGAATCTGTGGTACTGTGTTAACCTCAACTCACAATTTTAACGACAACGAATAATTCTAATTTTCTCTGGATAATTTAAGTGTCCCATCTTTTAAAAACATTTTCATGAATTTTCATTTCATGTTAAAATGTTGTCAGTTAGTTGATCACTACCAAAAACTCTGTCTCATTTCTTTTATTGAAGCTTTTCATTTAAAGAGATGAATCCTGCGATTTTAAAAAAGGAAGCTTTCTGATGTATCCGCTTTAGAAACGTCGCTATGCTGTTTTCTGACACCTGGCTTAGGGAGGCTAATTCTGCAATAATCTGTTTCATTTCATTGTTACAATTGTAATTGCTGTACATTCAAATTACGGATGGGTTGAATGCTTCTTCCGCTGTCGAGAGAATAGAGGTGTAACTGTCTTAACATATAAATCACATTGTGAAACCGTATTTCCCACTGATTGATGAAATGATGTCATACATGTATGTAACATTGCCTACAGCTGGCAATAACTTTAACAATGTACTCAGTGTAGTCGATATGATTGGTCTATAGTTTTCAGCGCAAAGTGAATAAATTATTTTAAAAACACTTTAACAGTTAAAGGGAATATGGTGTTAAGCATTTTTCACCGTCTTTCCCGTGTGTACAGGGATTCACTTATTGTAAAATCACTAATTTTCACTGGGTTTAAATTTCACTGATTTAGCATTTCAGGCATATTCAGTGGGTTTTAAATTCACGGTTTTATCATTTAGATAATGTGATCTATAATAAATTTTGCATATTCACTGGCTTTCAATAGCGCATTTTCTAGTCACACACATTATGCATAAGATTATACATATCACATCAAAACTCACACATTAGATGATCCAATGGCAAGCATTTAATGTTAAAATGCATCAAAATCAAGCATTTCTGCCATTCTGGTATCAGTATCAGTATGGACATATTTTTTCATTCAGATTTGGTATGTACTTTGTACACAATGGAACCTTAAACTGTTCCAGGACATCTGAAATGCTACTCAAGTGCTGATTTTTAAAAGTTGCATCACCCCTAAAAAAAAGAAGAGTGTATTTTAATCTTGGTATTTTCCCATGGGGCGAATTATTCCACAGCAATGTGCATGGGGTATGTCTGTCACAAACATGTTAGAACTTGTTCCAGTCTTTCTGAATTTATCGGTTCATTGAAGGGTAATGAGGATAAAGTTATCCAGTACTCCCTTTCCTATCTACATTCAACTGTATGTACTTATTCCATTGGTTTTCCTGTCTTTATACATTATTATATGAACAAATTTGTAGTTTATTATGCACCTAATATTTACAAAAATGGAGCGTAAATAAAGCAACTATTCTAATTAACAATTAAATTTAGTTTGTGGGCAAAATTTAGTTGAAGCTAGGCCCTTCCAATTTTGAGTTACTTGGCCAAAACTCAAGTCTGAAAGAGTTCTACTAATCCAAAGTTGTCATATTGCACCATTTATAGATTCAGTTATTATTTGTCTTTATTTTAACTGCAATTAGATGCATTTTGTAAATAACCTAGGAAGTACATTAATGAATTCATTGTTTGGAGTTCATTTGGACGCAGTGGTAAACATAGCATTGTCACAACATTTCATAATGATGGGGCCTGTCAACCAGATAAAATTAGGAAAAGATTTTTTAATAGATTTATTCCGAAGTTATTCCAGTGTGTTTGATTTCTGAAAGTTGCAATTGCATCATAGCTAAAAATAGGAATAGCATCCTGGTATTTTAATGGATTTTTCCTTGAGGGCTACATTCCTTGAGATTTTTATGCTGTGATGTCTTAGGAGGTTGAATATCAAATAAATTTAAAACCATACTCAATGTGTGCAGTGAATATTTTCCACAGAAATCATCAATTTCTTGTGAGTGTACATTTTCCATAGAAACCATCAATTTCATGTGACATAACAATTAAGGTCTGAGCAAGCAAACCTGCCGACCTTTATGAGATTCCTAAAAGTCACATCAATTTATAGTGAATGAATATACCTCAGAACAGAACTAGCCTCAGTGCATGACTTCAGCCTTCCCATTGAGTGTGTAGCGTACTCACTAAGGATACACATGCACACCAGTCCCTTATGAATCCAGGACAAATATGCTGTGCTACAAATGATCAAAATATTAGAACAAATTTCATTTTTCATTTTCCACTCTTTACTTTTTTAGCTCCGCTGTTGACTTTGTCGAGCGGAGCTTATCATATGAGTGATCGTCCGTCGTCGTCCGTGTCAATGTTTTACTTTTTCGACTTTTTCTTGAAAACTACAAGCCTGAATGCTTTGATACTTGGAGTATATGTACCTTGGGTAGACCTCTCTCAGATTTGTTCATTTCATGATGATATCTTCAATTCTCTAATTTTGGTGAATATTTTTGTCATTTTTGGTAAAAAGTGATATTTTCGACTTCTTGTTGAAAACTGCAAGTCCAATTGCTTTGATATTACATATATAGGTACTACATGTGGACCTCTCTCAGATTTGTTCATTTTCTAATGATATCTTCTGTTCTTTAATTGCCATGTGCATTGCTAACAGCGGAGCTATCTCAGCCGACAGGCTGCTTGTTTTGAATCCATCAAGTCTATTTACACACACTGACTCTGTTGTAAGTACTAGTATTACTAGTATATGAAACACAAAGTTTCTCTTCTTGTACGCTTCACTGAGGGCAGGTGAGACAACTCTTTCTCAGTTGGATTACCCTTTACATGTACTTTGTTTACATACTTGTACCTAGAAAAAAAATAATAGAAAACATGTTTGCTTTTCAGATTTTAATTCCCAATTTGTTTTTCATGAGAACAAATGGTGTTAAGTAAATCTAAATCTTGTTCTGAAAGATTGAATTTCACTTTTTCTTCTCTGTTGATCTATAATCTGCCTGTTGTGGATTTTGTTGGATGACCCTATTAAGTAAGTAATTGCCAAGCCAGTTTTTTGGGTCGATATATCCAACCACATTGTAAAAAGCTCCAAAGTGTATGTTTTTTTTGTTTTTTTTTATTTCTAGACCTACTTATTTACTGATCAAGAAGATTATGAGTACAATAAAAAACTACGTAAGTTATTTTTTTTGCTTTTCTTTCTGTTGTGTAACAAATAAGATCTTCAATGTACTTTTAGAAGCAGTTAAAGGGGCACCTTCCAGTTAAGCCTAATCCCACAACAAATTTACTTTCTGGATTAAAATAACAATTGATAACAAAAGATAGATTAACATTGTAAACAACATAAACAATAGTGTCCCATGATTCTTTGGTGCAATCCATGGGATTGAGCGGTTCCCCTTTAAGTTTATTGAGAACTAGTCAGTGTGGCTTTGTTAGCTAATCAAAAAGTGTAGATAACTAATTATTATAATATTCAGCCAATTTTACATAAAATAATTTGTTTTCTAAGTGCACATAATTCAAACTCTATGATATATTTATATGCTGATGTGTTTCATCCTAGGTCCCCTTAGCAGCTTCTATATTTAGATTAATTATAGATGGATGCTATTAATTCAGTAGATATTTTAAAAATCTGAATGGGATATAGTAACACATTTCTTAACAAGTTGTTTATGCTAGTGAATTCTTAAACCAAATTCAGTAATTATTAATATTATTTGTTTTAAAAAATGTTTGTGTATTTATAATATTTGTGAAAAAATATTATGCCATGGCAAGGGGAAAATATTGATATTTTGGAGGGTGGGAATATTGAGATAATCAGGCTCCGACTAGAAAGCAAATTTCTATGGTGATGTTCTCATAAGAAACCTAACATTGTTACCATAGTAACAATTCTGTGGTGAACACGGTTTATTTCATTATCTTTCTATAGTGCCCGTATTTGGCGTCAGATTTACCCGATTGCATTCTGGCATTCCATCATGAAATTTAAATTAAGTTTGAGCTACAGAGTACTGGGTTTGAATATCAATAAGACACTGCCTTGCTGCTGATAGTGTTCAACGCAATTATAAAATAATTAGGGCTGTATAAGATTTTCAATGCTCAAATTATTAGTGTGCATCAATAACCCTTGAGATGGAGTGCTGTTATTGATCATTCTCATATCTGGTACATGTATATCCCAAGCATGGTGGCTATAAGTGTATGTATACATGCAAGTCCTATTCGAAATGGCAAAAACCAAAATCCAAAACTTTAAAAATTTGTCACCAAAGACACAGTTCATAGCCTTGCTAAACAACAGTGGCCTAACACTCCCCGTAGTATCATAATTTTATACTTGCTATTATCTGTAATGTATTAGTTTAGATTGTTTTGTTTTTTTGCTTTTTTTATCTATTTACTGTTTTGTAACCTTTTATTCCTTTTTCAACTTTTGTAACCATTGCCAATCCCTCTGGGGAATGTGTAAGTGTTAATAAAAAATTAATTACTACATGCAATTCACTGTAATGGTATTTTTTCTTAATGATTATATTGTAGTAAGATCATCTAATGATGCTAAGTTTATGCAAATTTAATTTTTGTCTTGATTTCTAATT